AAAGATCGACTCATACACGTACACACAAATGCGCTACGCACTCGCATGCGCGCTCGCTTACACGTTCAGGAACGCTTGCATGCATGCAGTGTACATACACGCGTACACGCATCCGCGCACACAAAGATCGACTCATACACGTACACACGAATGCGCATACGCATTTGTGTACACACATGCGAATACATATGCACATGCATGCATACATACATACATACATACATACATGTTTTCTAGCACTCGCGCTCGACCAGGTCAGGCGAGGACCATACGGTCCAAGGTTCATCACGAACCAACATCAGTGTCAGCAATAGCATCAGACTTCCTTTTTCAGCAGGCCAAACTTAAATTCACCCGATGCTTATCTTACATACATACATACATACATACATACATACATACATAGACACCAATATACAAACACACATGCATACATGCATGCCCACATACATACGTACATACATGTATACAACCTACGAGCCTACGTACGTAGATCCATACATGCCGCATGCATACCGGCATAGACGTGTAGATTTCTACATAGCTGCGTACGTACAGGCATACCGACAGTCATGTCAGGCTGGCATCCCACACACTCCCTGCCTGCAGGCTTACGGGGCCAGGTTCTTGGAGGACACCGTCGCCCTGCACTGTTAACTGGACCAGCGAAGTTACTCACCCTATTTAGGAGTTTCCGAAAATAGAGGACCCTAAGATAGCACCCTAAATAATAGGATCCTTATTATAAGGACCCCAAAATAAGGTACCCCCTCATTTTCGGAGAGTCCCATTTGTAGTCTTAACTTGTGTGAATGGGGGCTACGTGGCATTCCGCGACTGACTGACTTTCTTCGTCAGGCACTTCCCGTTTTAGCTTTGGCTTTCCACGGTCACGACTTTCATGCGTGCCTGGGCCGTGCCGCTGAGGTTTCTGAGCACAGAAAGAAGCTCGTGGAAATATTGGTATACCGTCTGATTCCGTAAATATGTTACCCAATTGGCACAGAAGTCGATGCTCGACGTTCGTGCTGCCGGACACTGGCGCTACTTCTCAGGCAGCCCAATCCTGGATCCTATGCAATTGTCAACAGCCGAGATGTGCCGATCGGTTGTTTTGCTTCGATTTGCCTCTTGTGCTGACATGGCAATGCCACGTCTTCTAGTCCTAGTCCATCTACACACACACACACACGTAACGACGTAATGCTTGCTGCCGAAATCAGAACTCAATGTGCATTAGATCGTGCTCTCAGCGTACACTATCGTACACTGACCCTGCCAGGCAAGACGCGCTCAGGTGTGTCTTCAATTTCAGCCAGCCCTTGTTGACATCCAAACGCCGAGACCAACGATAAGCCATGTGCACACAAGCCCTTGGCCCTGTCTGCTGCTTGCACGCTCGAACATAATCAAACTCTTTTTGCAGAAGGGACTCGACTCAAAACTCTAAACTCTGAAATGAAATTGAGCAGCCACGTACGATCAAGGCTTCGAAACCGAAAGGGCATCATCGGGCCCCACATATGTTTTGACAACCTCAGCCGCAGCGCCTGACCCTGGGAATTTCTTCCTTCAGTGCCGGCAAACATCAGTTCGTGAGCAGTACCTTCAACTTCAAGCAAAGACTACCGACACTGTGCCTCGCGGCCAAGTTTCCCATGACGGTTGGAGCCGTACGTATAGAGCCTGGCGCGGCTTTATCGCAGTTACTTGCTCGATCCTGTTCGGTTGCTTTGCGAGGTAAAGCTCTACGACCCGCCTGCCGTCAACGACGAAAGCCTAGAGCAGCAACAATGATGATGCAGCACGTGCTGGACTCCACTGTGTAGCACACCCTGGTCCCCCCCCCATAGGACCTTCGGAACACTTGGCTAGCATGGACTCTGCCAGCTTCACATCTTCAGATGTCTTGCGAGCTGGAATGGTTGAAACAACAGCTCGTGGGATGTCTGGCCACCTCAAGCCCGAGCTGAACACAACTTTTATCCGAGGGTGTCGCTGAGTGGGATGGGCCGCACGCAGCAGCTGTGACACCACGGGCCTGCCAAGTTGAAAGACATAGTTTGTGACTAGCTTTGCTCGAGTCTGACAAGCTGCCCGTGGTTCAGGTATCGTGACTGATGCGACCCCACCCTCTTTGGACTCACTTGCTCTCGCTCTGCTTCTTCTTCTCCGGCATACAGACTTTTGAGGGTCTCTCGCGTAGGTGGTGGCCCGCGTGCTGTGTCCGATCGTTTGGACTTTTCCAAAGTATGCATAATGCCTGACGCTTGGACTCAAACTCTTGGCTGAGCCTCGGTGCAAGGACTTCGTCGGGTAGTTCCCAACTTCAATGGAGGCACCCATTTCGGTAGTCCCGTGCCGTCTCTGTATGTTCCGCGCACTGCCTCTCTTTCGCTATCCCTCTCTCTCCCGGCGAATGGAGGTCACCCATCTCAGCTGTTCGTCGGCTACCTCCTCCACCAACTCAGGTTCCGAAGATTCTGGCCTTGGCCGACGGTCTTCTCCCACCATACTTCCGCAAGAGACGCACAAGGAAGCAAAGTCATGATGCGCATACTGGCGACAGCATGTAGCGTGATGGTCGCAGCCCAATTGCATGTCTACCGACATTCATGTGCTCTGCGAGGCGGCGCAATGACCAAGCCTCTGACGCACCATTTCCGTGGCCTAGTCTGCCGAGCATGGGGTTCTGAGTCGAGGAGTCTTGGGGTAAGACTGCGGCACCAAACATGTGTCCAAGGCTATGGCATCAGTCACTTCTGTGTTCTCCTGTGTGGTTATATTTACCGTTCCACACCGCCATCTGTCATTCAGCCTGCTTCAGCTTGTAATCGCCTTGAGTGCTTGCGGCCCTCTGCTCGTCTGGAGCCTTCGCCCCTCCGACTTGGCCGAGCGCTGGCACCCCATCGCCACAAACACCGGTTCTGCGTGCTGGAGAACCTCGACAAGTACCGGTGAAGTATATGTGTGTCTGATCTGAGAGCCACTTGCAGCAACGTCACCACCGACGCGAAATCGAGACCTGGCCCACGGCACAGGGCTTGTCCGAGTGAAATCTGTCTGAGAGTTGATTGGAAGTTGCGCACAATGACTGGCGACACCAGAGTCTGCCAGGAAGTACAATGAACCGCAAAAACGCATTCTGCACTAGAGGATATGCACTGGTACAATCGACACCTGCAACATCCTGCAAGTCTGCAAGTGTAGAGACAAAGCCGGACACATAACCGCCGTCGATCCTCCGCTATGTGTTAACTTGTTGCTTGTTTAGCCTTCTCCACGGAACCATGCGGTGTCCATTGTGTGGACTCTGCGGACAAGCGGCAGCGTGCACTGTGCAACGGGGATGTCGAAAATAGGCAAGCACATTGCAGCGTGGCCACATTGCCGAAAACTGTGTAGTAGTTACCCTGGTGCATCACCGAAGTGCTTGCTGAGTTATCCAAGTTGAGGAAGCTGCCCTTGCAGTCGCCTTTGGGCTCTAGTTGCCTACCAACACGGCCACAAATCTTCCAACTAGCAGCTAAGTCTAAGTAGCATGTAGTTACGTAGTTGGATGAATCGCAGACGCTTGAAGATCTGGCCTACGGTGTGAGTCTTCGCTAGCTCTAATTGGTGCGTGATTGGACGGTTTGCCGTGAGGGTGGCAAAATATGCGTTTTCTACTATGCCATGGCTAACCTTGAAGCGATGTGGCAACATTTGCGGAGAGGCAGCGGGGTCTGCGGGAAGAGGTTCTTGCAATTGCTTTCGGCTCTCAAGAAATGCATCGACCAAGCCTAGATGCGCACACGTGCGTGCGACTGTGCATGTTGCAAAGGTGTTGGGGCATTATGTGGCATTGCTCTTTGGCCGCATGCTGCCAAGCATACTTGTACGTGTTTTCGCTGCAGGTTCTGTTCGATGCACCAACACAATGTCCAGCCAGAAAGGAAACCTCAGATGTATGTTGCTATGACATGAACCACTGCACACTGCAGACATGGATGCTGGAAGTCGTTGAAAACCAACAGAGTTGGGCCACGCAAAATCTTCCATGTGCGCCGAGAGCTGCCAGTCTTCCGGCAAGGCCTCGGCAACCTCTGCATGACTCTTGGTGCTGATCAGGTCCTGCCCGTGGTGTTCGCATCCACAGCAGTACAAAGAGACCTTGCTTTTTGACCTTGCCTGGTCTCCCAGCGACTCCGCTGGCCCCGGAAGTTCTCCTCCAGCCTTCAACAGAGCACCTTGAAGCATCGACAGGCTTGCTTGAGGGTCGGCAAAAGAGAAGTGATTGGCAGTCTCGGGGACGGCATCTTTCAAGGAGATGAACCGAACATAGCCCAGGTGCATAAACTTGCACCATATAGCTGACATAACATGAATAACATGCGCAGAACATACCGCGCCAAGCTAAGATCCCACTGTATCTCCCACGAAACTGATCGCTTATAGCCTTGTAAACACCGACCCAACTTGAGACTGGCATCGTTGTGCACGTCGGAGCGAGGCTAGTGACGCCATTGCACCCAACTCCGATGCATAGAACCAGCACTGCACCTTAGTAAGCTGAAATCGGCACTCGCCAAGTGGATCTTCCGACTGCAATCTGACTCGACTATTCCCGAGTTGAACCCCGGAGTCCTTCGCAAAAAAACGGCAAAACGAGAAAATGGCCTGATCTCGGGTTGTGTCACTCGCTTATGATACAGACTAAGTCGTAGGACAGTAACTGGTAGATCGTGAACTTAGCATAATCCCTTTCAAGAGTGCTCTTAGCCGCTGGGTAGTGGCGGCAACAGCAGCAGCAGTAGTATCAGTCGCAGTAGAAATAACTATACTGACACTACTACTGAACAAGTTAAACATACATAAACATGCTTAGAATATCGAAAAGAACAAGCACCAAATAATAGTAGCAGCAGTAGATCTTGGCAGCATTAGCTGTACTAGTACTCGCACATGCGGTGGATTATTTGGGATCCGGAGCAGTGGCATCAGAAGCCGACTCTTGCAGCGGCAAGACCAATAGTACCAGTAGTACCGGCAGCAGTTGCAATAGCAAAAATAGACAACAATTCCGGCAGGCAAGGCCGAGGCACGGCGGACAGCAGCTGGAAGCGCACACGGATGTTCCTCGGATCTTGACGGATTCTTCAGGTCTCAAAGTCTCAACCAAGACCGTCGAATCTTCGAAGACAGCTGGTGCAAACTTCAGTCAAGCTGCAGAAGCTGCAAAGAGATGATCTGAGTGAAGAGGTCTCCGAGAACCGTCTCATAGACCTAGAAGGCACGCGGGATCAGCGGGCAGTTGTCCTCCTGAACCTCGTCTCAGCAAGCCTGCGTGAGTGGCACGAGATCGGTCGGGGCTGGCGGCATCGGCAGCATCATTAAAGCGCTGCCGAAGGCATGGGCCAGCAGGCAAGCCTCGTTTGCAGTGAGGATCTGTCTGGAGAAAATGCTACCGCGGTGTTGCGCTGTGGTGCGGAGAAGCAGCGGATTGGGCACCTCCCTCCCCTTCCATGGCAATACCTGGACATCGCGGAAAACAAGAACTCCTCATTGAAGCTAGTCGCGGTCTCAGTCCGAGCATCGTGTTGGAGGCTCACCGATGCGAAAGGCTAGTAAGTTTCAAAGTAGCTGTCGAATCAAACTGCGACGTCGGTGGGAATCAACTGGAATCCGCCATTTCCACTCGTCTTTTTTTGGACTTGGGATTCGGTGAGGAACGGCTGGTAATCGGAAATGTTTACTCGCTTCTATTCACTTACGGAGGAAAAAAGGCTTTGGTGACAAATCTCTGGAGTTGTTAGTCGGTGTCAAATTGGCCTACGCCTTCGGTGAGAAATGGTCTCGCCTTTAAGTACTGGTCTGTGATTTTGGGACGCGACATTTGGTGCGACATGGCTGGAACCTGCCATGTTCTACCTTGTTCCAAGTCAACTAGGACAAGTGTTTTAGCGACACTGACTTGGAATCACGTGTTTTTGCCTGTCTGTGTCAGAATGAACTACGACCTACGACTTGTACGGTTGGTGATTCTTGTAAGCCTGTGTCAGATAAGACTACGGTTATGTAAACGGACCTGTGTATAACCACGAGATGAGTCTGGCAAAACATGGCCGTCACAGTTGTTCCAGTTTGCTTTCAAACAGACAGCGGTTTCGATGAGAAGTGGCTTACGATTTCGATGAACCTAGCTGGAAACCGCTCAGTAGTCTGTCATGGAAATTTTTATTCAAGTCCCAACTTTGTCGTCGGCTCATAGCTCGGACAATGCCGCTTCAAGTGCCGACTCTTGAGGCAGTTGTCCGAGTGCCGGGTCTGTCATATGGCTCAGCAGCCGCAGCGACACATGCGACAAGCACCTGGATTTAACGGGTCCATGCTTCAGCTGATATCGAACCCTCCATACTGCGGAGAAGTCTCATGCACGGCGCACCAGCGGGGCAAGGGCGGCCAGTGGTGTTGGACCACCAAGGCGTAGTCTGAGGAGGTCCTGCCACTGAGCTGCAAGTACGAGATGCAGGGGCATATCGACAGCTGTTTCGGAAACTCTGGTACCGCGAACATACTGCCCTCTCGCATCTCTTCTTGGTCTTCTCCCTCAGTTCTACCGGTGCCAGTCCAGCTTTAGCACGGCATTGGCAGCGAGGGCCAAGTTCTGTGGCTCGAAGGCCAGGCGGCCTGACAAGCAGGCTTGGGGCCAAGTTTTATTGTCATTCGGTCCCGGAGCTTTATTCAACCGAAGGGGGTGACTTCCCCGTGCCAGCCGGGAAGCTTCTTTGCCGAGGGAGGAGGTGTGCTTCCAGCAAGCGCCTCTGGCAGCAAGGGCTCGGACTCCTCTAAACTCCCTGATCCCAGTGGCCTCAAGGTCTCCAGCTCCTCGCGGCAACGGCCGCGGGCCAGTGCGCTCAGGAACATGCCAAGCCAGTCCGGGCGAAAGAACTGCACCTCTTTATTACGCATCACAAGATGCAGAGGCACGGCCTAAGCATAGAGACAAGTTGCTGACGTGAGCGGCTTGAAAACCTGGCAGGGGGAGTTGGATGAGTTGGCCCGGCAAACCAGTCTCAGCCAGTAAAGATGCCGTTTCACGAACATGAACCGATTACTTGAAGCTTGAGCTGTGCATAAAAGGCATGGTCTTTCCCTTGCGTCGAAGTCTGGCTTGGCATCAGAAGATTGCAACTACGGCTGCACACAGGTCGAGTGATGGTTCTGTGAGGGGACAGGCTCACAGCATCTGCGGTCTTGAATATGATGCTCACAACAGCTTGCAGCAAAGGATGTGCACCAAACGCAGATGCACGGTCTAATTACCATGGTCTACCAACGCAGCATCTGTTTGCTCAGAGTCCTGGCGCTGGAACAAGCACGAGTTTTCTATGGACCTGGGAGCTAGATCCGACCGGTTGGCATAGCAACAGAGCCGTCGTTGCCTTGTCATCCAAAGGACCTTTGCTGCCCATGAATTCCCGAGATGCCAGCTTCTTGCAACCAATCTAAGCCAGCTCACGCCTTGTAGTCGACGTGCCTTCAGCCGCCTCCTTCCAAAGCCGCGCGTACATGCAAATAATTCCTACTCTGTAAAAAGGGTTCGTTAGGCAGCTTGCTTCTCAGAACTGTTCGATCCCAGTGCCTTCAAGAGGTGACCGGCACGACGCACCAGCATGGCCAAGAGCTGCGCGTTGGCGTCCTGGCCAGTCTTGGACTTTGTTCACAGGATATGCTGCAAGTATGAATATCGCTGGAGCTCTCTGTGTGTCATCGGGACTCAGCTTCTAAGTGGCCAAGAAGTGAACAGAAACATCCCCTGCTGTTTACATCGCAGCCACTTGCATAACAGCGAATGTTGAACCACAGCAGCTACTGCATCAAGCACGACCGGGTCCTCACCAGCTAAGCCGGGTCCTTCCAATTTAGAAGCGGGAAAAGCTTGTGACAAGAGTTCGCCGAGCAATGGCTCCATTTTATTCTGGGGGCCTTGCGTTCACAGGCGGCCTAGGCAGACCTGTGCGCTCAAGTCTCGGAAAGCGCTGACAGGCTGAGCCCAGTCAGCATCTGATGGGCAGCCAATACAATTAATGTGTGTACATCCGGCAAGCTCAGTGCAGTCATCTGACAAAGTCCACGGGCAAGGCCAACAGGCCGATCGACAGTCCTACTCTCGACAGTGCCAGAGCCATACCTTCACAGACCAGATGACACATTCAGCACAATTCAACAGCTAGTAGATTCTTCAGAGGATATCGTCTAACAGAAGATGACGGCACAACATGCAAGGGATATCAGGGAATGCTCGGCAAGTAGGCACGGGTTCATGTGCCAGTCTCACTGCCGTGATAAACAGCCAACAAGACAGGCCCAATCCAGCCTGCGGTGCCGCGGGGGCCCAGCTGAGAAATGTTGGCAACAGTCCAGGTGCACAGGGCGCTGCGAACAGTTTGCAGGACGTCATGAGGCAATGCCCTGGCGGCAGAATGCAGCAAGGGGCGGGCTGCTCTCGCGAAAGCTGGCGGGCCTTCCGCAGCGAGCACAGGCTGCAGAGACAGCCTGCGCATGATGGGGCACAAGGGCCGCCTGGACCTGAGGCAAAGTTCCGGCTTCGGGCTGGGCAGCGCTTGTTGCCCCCAAGAATGGACCTCCAAGGAAGACATGTGAATGCGGAAAACATCTTCAGTCTTGGATATGTTGGAGGATTCAGAAATTTCAGGGAAGACGCGATCGTACCGAAGTTTTCCATGTCACGTGATGCTAACACGACATGTCACAACTTGGCGCAGTTCAGCTGTGCGACGGTGGCCGAGTGTTGTCGCCAAAACGGCACCAGCACCGTCAGCAGGAAGTTGCTAAGCAACCCCCTGTCTCCTGCCAAAAAAGGCTGTCTCCGCATCGAACGGCGTAGTCTGGAGTTTCGCTATGGTTGGAACAGAACACGTACTGGTAAGCACCAAACACCCATCACCTTCATGCACAGATTCTGCGTACGGAAATTCATGTCTATGACAATTGCAACCAAAACTCGGCAATGCCATGCCAAGAACTCCTTGGTGGCTGGCGCAAACATCACAACCATGAATTCGTCTGGGAAGCCTCTCTTCTCTTGACATCTCTTGACTTCGGTTTTTTGAGACAAACCAGCCAAAATCCGTGTCTACCAGTGCAAACTGTCCAGCCTTGCCTACCTTGCTGCTGCGCGATGCCTACAACAAAGGAGACGGTTGCGAGCACTACAGTAACCCGTCTTGCGCGTGAAGGCTCTTAACTGACGGGATTGCACCAGCCGCACACCGAAACAACTCGAGGTTGGTAACATGCCGTCGCAGGTGGGATCAGCGTGGCACAGTGCGAGCGTGCGGGGTCCGGAGGGGGGGGGGGGGGGGGGTGTGGGGCAAAATAACATTCCAGAAGCAGAAAACTTGCACCTTTGCTGAGCTCTTATCATTTGTATCGTTTTATAATTTATCTATCGCTTGTTGTTATTATTTCGAGATGTTCGTGTCATCATGGTTTAATCGTTCCGGAGTGGTGGTATCTTATTTGCTCATATTGCTTTTTATCGTTCCGGATTCGGGGTACTGTTTTTTTAAACACTCTGCTATCGTTCCGGATTCGGGAGAAGAATTCTTTGTATCATTCTGGGATGGGCCGCGGTCTGGGACTTGCACTTTTTCTCTGCCGCTTCGCCTTGCCCTCTACTCGACTAACCACTGACACGCCGGGCATGCACTTGCCTTCTCAGCTAAGTTGATGTCGATCTTGGACTTTGGGACCGGGCCAAACCATACAGAATTCGTAACCTGGTGGCTGGTAAGCAGAGGTACCTCAAGCAGCACCTTAGTCCTTCTCAACCCTTCTCAACTCCATGTTGCAATGTTGCAAGCCAAGATAGGCCAAGGCACGCTCACAAGGGGAAGCGTTTGAGGCCATAGTTGTAACTCGGAGAGGTACGCTTCGTAGTGCGAGCACAAAGCCTTTGCCACCTACAGGTCAGCGATGGACTGACTGCCCTGGCGCAGCAGCAGCAGCAGCAGCAGCAGCAGCAGCAGCCACGACTAGGGCGACTTTGTTTTACGCACTGCATGCTGCAGTGCCACTAGTTGACTAACTTTTTGCTTGTGCCGAGTACCGTTGACTGTGGCTGACTGAGGAGAAACGAAAGCTCAGTTACGTGCCTCCTGTGCAACCTCTCCGTGCCGTTTGAAGCCGCGCGCTGCAGCAAGGACGAAGAGGGTGTCACAAAGCTCCCGTCCAGAGAGCCTCTTTGCACCGATGATACTAAGCTCCCCTTCAAAGTTTGGTGCTGCACACGCTGGATTCTGGAACCAATGACGTGAAGCAACACATGTCAGTCCTGAGCAGTGGCGGCAACGTCTCCCTGCATAGCGGATGTCCAGTTCGATTTGCATGTGCTACAGTAGTCACGATGGCCCACTCGATTGCGGAGATTGGACTTCACAGCTTCAGTTCAGATTCCTTCTGCGAGCCTGGTGGGCATTGCCCTGAGGGTTTCCCAGAGTTCTGCAGCCTCTGCAGCACTCAGCGACCTGACCACGAACACCATTGCTGGGACAGGTGTGTTAAGCGTCCTGCATTACAGGCTACCAATGAGAGTGCTCATGTGAACTGCAAATGTCTTTCTGAGGCCCAGGATCGCTGAGGACAGCACGTGCCGTGGCGCACGAGAATGAAGTAAGCGGACAGGACGACCTATTGCGGCTCATGCGGGCACGGCCACGGCCAAACACTAGCAGCGCCTCGATCTTCGAATTCTGGGATTGGCCGGGAAAGTCGGCTCTCTCTGAAGTCGAACCTACTCTAACTCTAACTACTATATTACAAACCTCCGAGGCATTCCAACCACAATCAAACCTACTTACTAACTGCTACATTGTATAGAACCTTCGAGGCATTCCAGCATCTCGGGCATCACGAAAGCAGCGTCGCCACAAAGCATCAACATGTGGGTCCATCAAGACTGACGGCAAGGCACACCCGGCGCCACGGAGCCACGGCGCAGCTCTTGCAGTGCGACGGCTCGCTCGGCTGCAGCCTTTGCGGAGGCCTCGAGTAGGACGGAGAAGGACACAGGTGCGATCACATGCAAGTGCTGCTGTCAGGAGAGCGGAAGACAAATGCATTCCCGAACTGCCCATCTCCGGCAGCAAGGGCCTGGCCGTGTGACCTGCGGAGTCTGGGTCTGGGAAGTCAGATCCAGCTGTTATGGACCGTTGCAGCTCAGGCCGTGCATTCTCGTGCACTGTTGAATACACGCATCCAGCGGTCGCTCGAAGCCGACATAAACACCGTACGAGTAGGGTACTGCACTCTCCGTTGCTTACTAAATCGGCCGAACTGCTACCGCCCCACGACGTTTCATGAACAAGGAAACGAACATACTCTCTCGATTTTAGAGCCAGTCCTGGCGTTGGGCGACATCCCCATCTCAGACTCGGTCAGCATGGGGCTCTGCTGGCTGGTCTCGTGCGGCTGAAACCTTCCAGGCAATGCACGGTGGACACGGGCGAGCAAGACTAAGAGAGCATGGCAGAGTGAGTGCACTGCAGAGATGTTACCGCACTTGGGAAGGCAAGCATGCGGCAAAAAAATCCGCTGCCGAAAAGCCAGAGTTCAGCTGGCCCTTGAGCACCAGGCCTTTGCCAGGGGAGTGTCTGGGCGAAGCTTCGAGGGCATGGCAGTGACAGCCAGTGCCTTCCTGGCCGGCCCCTCGGCATCGGCCGACGAGCGGCCCGCGCTAGCCAGGGCCGCAGCGCACGGCTTGCGAGGTGCTGGGCCTGACCGCAAGTCGCGCATAAGCTGAAGCAGTTCAAGTGAGCCCGACGAAACGGATGCACAAAGCCAGAAGCTCAAGTGAAGAGCAGCTACGAGTCGCCTCTGCAGGTAGCGCCGCCATTTGTTCGCGTCAGTGCCGCTCTGCATCTTGCATCATCTTGCGCCGCACGTCAGACTGCTGGCCAGACGATGGCAAATGGTGGTTTCAGTTCGGCTTTCAGCTGCAAGGCTTCCTTCCAGTCAAGCCGGGACACATGCCCTGCAATCTATAGAGTCATATTAATCTAAGGTCTTTGTCCGCCCGACAACTGTTCGTATGGATGCGCACAACCTTTACTTCCAATCAAGTCCTCCAGGTAGGACCGTCCGTCGTTCCTGCTGCTTGTTGCTCCGACAACCTTTACTTTGCCACTTCTCTCTATGAGTACCTTCGGCTACCATTGCTAGTCCACTGCAGAGCTACATGCGCTCGGAACACTTCCTGCGGTGGTTGCACATCTATCTAAGCAAGGCAGAGGGGATTGCTTCTTCAACAAACCGGTGCTCTACCCGCAAAGCGTGCAGCATGTGGCAGTCCTCGCAAGCAACAGTGGGAACACAAAATGGGGCTCCTGAAGGTGGCGCGGCAATCTTTCAGCACTTGAAGCGGTCTTTCGAAGCTTATCTCTCAAGCTACTCCGCCTCTCCAATATGTCCTTGGTATTTCGCAGGTCTGCAACGCGTCACACTAACCTAGCAGCTGGCTCGTTGTCCTGCTAAGCTCTCGAGGAGATTTTTGTCGGAAGACCCCCATGATCAGGTCCGGCTGCTCAGATCTCACTTGAACTGAAGATGTAGGCCTGCGCAGGCACCGCTTGCGGATAGGATGATGCGAGTGGGTCGATCGGTCAGCAGCAAGGAGGGGTGTCTCAAACAGTTCGACATGCTTTGGCCCGTTACTCCCACTTCTGCTAAGCGAACTTCGAAGCATTCGATGCAGATGCTCTCGCATCGTCATCTTTGCTCCTGACGGAAGCCATTAACAAGCTTCAGGTTGCAACCTGCATGTGTCGCCACTCTGCTGGACTTTCTCAGCAGAAGTTGACAAGGAGGACCTATCCGTAATCTCAACCTTCATCAGATGTTCGAAAGCACACAAGACATTCAGCTAGAGGCAAGCCCGCTTCAATTCGTGGAACTGGATGGGTCCGCGACGGGTCCCCTAAGCAGGAAAAATATGTACATGGCCTGACATTTTATCCAAGCCGAAATCGCAACCGAGGCTCTGAGCTTGCAAAGCACATCAAAGCACGTAAGCACGTGTCCGGCACATCAATAGTTTAGTGGCTTGTAGGTTTTATTATAGAATATAGTAATGCAGCGTGTAGAAGATCGCCGATTACTTCAGGCTTGGTGTTTCCGCTTTCGGGGCGTGCCAATGCTTGGCATCGTGTGGACTCAGCGCTCCTTGCCAGCTCACTGTGTCAACTGACTCTTTGACTGCTTGGCCTGAGAACTGGCCAAAATGCTCAATACAGTATAGTAGCGCTCACAGTCTGCGGGTTGTTTTCGGTAACGACCATGAAAGTTGCACGCTACACGCAGCACTCTGTGCCCACCTGGGGCGTGGTTCTGGAGGTTAAATGAGAAGCGCCAGATGTCCGCGAGGCCACCGGGCCGAAGGCCTCGTACACTGAACCGTAAAGACGAAGTTGACAGATGCCACATGCATCAGGGCCCGAAGTCATGAGGTCGCCGCCAAACTTTCACTTCGGCCACGGCTTTGAGTTGTTGCCGGGCTCACGTCCACCATCTATCACCAAGAGTGGAGCTGAATGTGGCTCTATAATCTTGCATGAAGCTGTTCCTACTGGACTGAGCTGTGCCAAATGGACGTTTCAATAAAAGATCGTTCGATGACCTGATCATCTTCGAAATCCTCTTCTTCGGAGTCCTCCTCCCAGAAATATTCCCACTCCTGCCAGACGGTGATGGCGCTCCATGCTGTCAACGAAGCTTGCAATGTTTAACAGTTGTTCTTTATTATGGTTGCAGCCCGTAACTCGGAAATCGCCTTGCGCGTCACATTCTCAGCTCCTGGGTACTTGTAGCTTCTTACACTGCTTATCGCCCTTGCGCCCGCCGCTGCGCGCTTGGGCCGTACTGGTGTTGTAGCAGGTCCTAAACCTGCAGCAAAACAGGTTGCTAGCACCACTCCACCACCTGACAACAGGAAACAACGTTTCCGCATGCTTCATATATGCTAGGGCTGCTCGAGGCACATGAGCAGGTGCAGGGTCAGGAAATTTCAAGAGCTCTCTACACGGCAGGTCATATATTCAAGCACGGGCGGGCATCTGAGACAGCGCTGCCGGCGTCTCAGTTGTTGGTTGGGGTGACATGGGGCCTGCGGCTTTCAAGGTGAGCTTCCCCCCGCCTGAGCCGTTCGGGATTCGCATTGGCAACTGATTCATGTTGAGTTCTGTGCCCGCGTGCAGCTTGCATGCTGCATCTGTGACAATCAGTTTTCCCGAAGCTTCACACCACAATCCCATCGCCCAGGCTGAGTCTTGCCTGCGCACGAGCCTTGCAGCATGCAAGCTAAAACTGCTAGACGTGCGTGTGTGTGTGTGTCATCTAGAGTTAGAGCGCTGTCTTCATGAACTCGCTTGCTGTTTAATTTTGTCGTGCTGGAGAAGCAGGGATCTTAACGGGGCAGTGGTCTTAAGGCACGCGGTGTGTCGGCTACTTCTCACATTGAGTGGCGGGATTCGAAGGAGTTTCAGTGTGGTGCCGTGCTCTGCCCCGGTATAGCGATCCTCGTCATCTTCTTTCTGGACTTTTGCCCGCTTTGCCTGTTCCTTGCCCTCCTCGGGCCTCATCACACAACAAGCACACGCTATACCAAACTGGCTCCGTCAACTGAAAGCTGCTTGGCCACGTAAGCTTGCGGCTGCTGTGCGGCTGCCATTGCCGCGTCCTGCTTTTCTTCCTCCTCCTCCTTAGCAGGAAGCCGGCGGCAACATGCACCTTGCAGCTTGCATTGGAGGCATATAATTCCGATAAACGGTTTCAAGTCTGGGCTTGCAGTAGCATGCGCCCAGAAGCGTATGGATGGAAGGAATGGCAAGACGCATGAGCAATCACTGCATTGCTAGTGCTGTTTCAGGCAGATACAGCATTTGCGGGCACCATCCTCGCGAAGCGAAGCGGACCTGCCAGGATGCCAAAACGAATCTCACTCCACACAGCGCGGACAGCTTGGAGATGGGCATTGCTGGACTCGCTGCAGGTAGATACGAGTACCCTGTACAAGAACAGAAGGTTGCCAGCTCGGGGTTGTGAGAGGGCACTGGCTTCAAGGGCCGTTTAACCCACCCCCCCCAAAAAAAAATCCGACAAGGCCTGGCGAAGGACAGGCTGGCAGAAAGCATCTTCGATGCGCTAACGCTCTTTGCCGCAGACAGAGGGCGAAGACTGCCTGCAGTGAAGTGTTCAGCATCGGGACTGGAAAAAGGGTGCTTTCGGAATTTGCTTGTTTCGCAAGAGCAAAAACGACTTGCCCCAGTTTTTGAAACCATTGACTTAAATCAAACACGATCTATTGAAGCTATTGGTCCTGACGCAGCTTTCTGGTCTCACCGGACAGTGTGTAAGGGCTCGATCTGCGAAGCACCAAGGCTCGATTTCTGGCTTCTCTAGAGCAGGAAGCCGACGGAAGGAAACCCGGCCCTAACTTTACCTTGCTCCGTGTGATGGTATGCAATCGTTCTACCACTGCCAGTTTCCGCACCCTCGGTTCCATCCTGTCATATCTGCGAGTGATTGCACAGCGCACCACATGGAGTTGCGCAAAGGTGAGAAACTTGCAAACATGCGTGAAACATGAATGATTGTATGCTCATGTCAGCTTGCTTCGGACCATGAGCTGGCAGCAGCTTGCAGCAGGGACATGAATGCAGCGCCTTGTGACTTTAGATCCTTCATGCGATCTTTCAGCGAAGTCTTGCTCGTCATAGCCTGGCGGCGAAGGTTTTGCTTGCGCCTTTTGCCAGAAACGTGGCGAGCCTGGCTCTTGGCAAGCAACTCATCAATCTCACGCTGGCGCGCTCCCAGCTCCTTCTCGTCGATCTCTCCTCGCTTCAGCCTAGGCACGAAGCCAGCCTTGTAACCGCAGTGCTCGCAGGATTATGCCAATATTGTGCAGTGCGACCGAAGCACTGGCCAAGCAAGTCGTCCTCAATTGGCAGACTTGATAAAGCTTGGAACGAAAGTCATAGGAATGAACAGATGACAGCACCCCCGTGACCATGGTCACAAGCACTGTCACCATGCATTCGGTCCTTCGCCTTCTGTGCGTCGAAAGTGCCGGACAGCAGCTGGCGTCGCAGCTCCCACTGCCGGGCGACCCGCGCGCGCCTGTGCAGAACCAGTGCTATGGAAGATTTACAGGCCACTGCAGTGGGTTGCGGCATATGTGCACTTCGCGAGCCGCACTGGACATGCGCCCATCTGCCCGTGTAGTTTTTGCAATCTTGACACCACTTCACACGATTTCTGAGTGGCCCACGTAGTCTTGCTAGCGGCCATCGGGTCGCGGGCGGCTTTCAACGTCTGCCGAGACCAAAGCTTACGCCCAGTCCGACAGATCTGCCACATGACTCGTTCCAAGACTACGCCCAAGAGCCTCCCGCAAAGACATCTTCTCCAAACGTCTCAGGCATGGGCAGCAACACCTCAAGAGGAGAGACCACAGCTTCTTCGCACAAAGAAGGCCAAGCTGGCAGGTGTGGCTTTGCTCTAAAGGCACGTAAGCACGCGCCACAGCCGCCGAGCGATTCCTGAAAGGGCAATGCCGCGCAACACCATAGTGTTGCTTGCTCTGCGCACAAAGCTCAAAAGCATGCCCAACCATTCGCGAAATATCGCCTGCCAGAAGCTTGGCTACGCGGGTCGCGGCCATCCACCGCAGGAGTGGCCGCAGAACACGGACCCAAATCGGCTCCAGTATCCGAAGTACCTTGGATTAGTTGCCGGAGAGACTGGGCGCAGCGCAATTGGGACAAAAGACAGGTCCAGAGTCCAGGCCACCACAAGGGCCAGAATCGTTCTATCAAGTTGTAAAAGCATGACCACACAAATCTCTTCCGCACCGGGGCACAAGGGAGCCGATCGGTCGCAGGAGATACCTGCAATGTGCAAGTGCTGCAGTTGACCGTGCGTCTACAGGTCTAACAAACCTTTTCCTTTGAAGATGCTTGAAAAGACTGACAGATTTCCCGGCCTCCAAATAACTTGAAAAGGTAACCTCGGGAACACGCAGCGAGTGCTGCATCCGGATTTCTCCCAAGGCTGATCTGCAGGTTTTCACGATGACACACTGTTTCCACTTCGGTCCCACCCCCCTCACCGTCCCGTCTTGTGCCGGACGATGTGAAGCATTTACCATCACCGAATGAATGCATCCAACAAGAAACTTTATAGCTCCTTTGAATGTGGTCCAGCTTGACTTCGTCCCGGTCTGTACATCACCTAAGTTTTTGTACGGCTTCAGGCTCTAACGCGGGGAGCGAGACTTACGAAATTTCCAGGTTCGGGAGTTCGGGAATGCGCCAAGAGTCCGTAGACAGTCGACTGCGAAGTGCGACAGCAGCGGTAAATGCAGTACAGCACGAGGAGAAGCGCTCCACCTTGCAGTGAGATTGCGGTTGAAAGATTGCCGCGGGACACGCAGGCCGCCTGCCCAGCTGCAACGCGCCTGGCCTGCGGCCGCGTAGTGCCACCACTGCAGCTCTCCCAGGTTCGCCAGGCCCGGCAGCTCCAGGTCTCCAGCTTCCCTTCCGCAAGCCGCAAGATCCGCAAGCTGCTCCCATGCTCTTACCTATGCATGTCTATGCCGAAGCACTGAACCGGCGGGTCCCATCTCGCTACCACCAAGGAACCTCGCACATCTCGCACTGCATCCATGCAGGAGCTTTTACACGCTTAACATAACTTCACAACGCTTGATTTCGCTCTTTCCAAGCTTCGCGCCGATCATGCTCGGGTCCCCTGCCCAGTGGCGAACCTGACACGCTGTCGCAAAACTGTTTCTGTGATGCTGCGCCTGCCACAGAAGTCGCAAGCCTCCAAAGGTCCGCAGCTCACGCGAATGGAGCAGATGGTAGAAATCAGCAGATCCGACCCCACAGCCTCAACGCCAAACCGATTCAGCCCACTTGGGCACCGGTTGTGCGCTTAGCAGTTGAATTGAGCTGGCAACCTGATGGCGACTGCCCTCGCTGGATGCGATGCCGGCATAGAAACCGATCACTGCAGTGCCAGGTGGACAGAGTCCTAAGTCATGTCTCGAAGGCGAAAACAGGATCCATGGTCGGAAGCCCCGCCCCAACAAGAAAGTAAAAGCTCTAATTTGGCCATCGGCTGCGCGGTCTTTCGGAAGCCTCTCCAGCGGCGCAGGGCTCGCACGAGCCCAAGGCCTGCAACCACTCCCCTACAAGCTACTACGAGCATCGTCCCCAAACTAGCACAACTCTCTCTCTCTCTCTAACACAAGTCCTGATTTGCAGACTGCTTAGGAAGATCATGGCTGTTTGAACACTACCTTTATTATAGCATAATTACCGCAGTGTATCGCTAACCGAACCGAGTGTATCGCTGATTATGTGGCCACGTACCGAACCGATCGAACCCGTCCTTGGCACCGAATATCGCAACAGCGACCCAACCAGCCACATCGGCAACACCGGTCCCCACCAGCCACCCAAGCCACACCAGCCCCACAGCCACACCGGCCACTCCAACCGCAGCGGCCCAACCGGCCCAGCCACACCAGCCACATGAGCCACACTACAATCCAGCCAGCCATAAACAACACAACCGCGTGGGTGGGTGTGGCTGGTGTGGCTGTTGTGGGCGATGTCGCTGGTGTGGCTGGAGTCGCTGGTGGGGTGGGTGGGGTGGGTGTGGCTGGTGTGGCTGGTCTGCCTGGTGTGGTGGGGTATTCGGTATGGCGTATCGCTACCGAACCGAACCGAAACTCAGGAATACTGCCAATACATGTACCGCTAAACGCCGTATACGTATCGGTATCGATCGAACCACCCGATTACAGCTATGAAGATTTTCGGATAGCAACTGTGAGGTGCCTTCAAGTTAACACGGAAAAATGAGGCTCCATGGAGCGAAAGGGGGGACCTATAGCCAGCTGATCAGAACACCTAAGACAAGCAGCACGGGCCTCGACATACTGGAAATCTTCGTTGCAGCAGCACATCTCCGGATCTGGGCAAGGTTTGAGGTTGGACATCCTGAGATCAGGACAAAGGCCTGAAAGCATCCAAGAGCAACAGAAATGTGGCATTTCTTTGATCTCCGGGCGACCCCTGGCAGCTGGCCCATCTCTCGGAGCCGTTGATGGGAACAAGGCCTGTGCAATTGGCGCCGGTCTCCTGTGTCACCAGGGGCGCAGAGACACTTCTGTGATACTTCCCCGATGCCAGCAGCCGTCCAGCTCCATCGAGGCCACTTCAGGCTCCAGTTCCTCGTGAGCTTCGGAATCCCAGGCGATGATCCGCTCTACCTGCAACGTCATGGCAATGGTGCCAAGAAGAGCACGCCTGGCCGCCTGGCCTGTGACCAAGCGGCACAGGCTGCCGCCAAGCCGGCTGCCTGCAAGAAGCCCACAGCAAGAGTTTTTCAGGGAAGCTCAAGAGCACGCCTTGCGCCGACGCCAGAGCGCGAGCCGTACTCCCACCAGCAGGGAAGAGGCGCGCTCGTCACAGCGAAGCACTTCGACCTGCAAATTTCTGAAAGCACTGGCAGCTGAGAGGCTAAGTCTATGTGCCATGTGCTGAGCCTCAGCATTTTCCCCTGCATCTGTGAAACTGAGGATCTGCCGGTTGCCCGCAAGACCCGTTGTGCCAGCCAGGGTCTGCCACTGCGTTTGGTTGGTCCCAACATCGAGCTCCTGCAGAGCGAAAAGCAGGATCCCCATCGCAACTCTTGCTCGTCTCGCAAGGCTGAAGAAAAAGTTTCTCGACACAGTTCTTCGGAGTCTGCCGGAACGTCCTGAACCTTCTGTCATAGTGATTGCTAATTCGCAACCGTTGCGAGGGTGTTCAGGAATGTGTGTCGTGATTTCGGAGTGATGGTCGAGAGTGGTTCATGATATATGAGTGGTCGCAATTGTGACCACGTGCTCTTAAAGGATTCGCGGTTTCGATATTCGTGATTTCAGAGTGACTCTCGAGCGATGGTCATGACTGGACTAATGAGGAGGGATGCCAGAGTGAAGCAATAGCGATCTGATCGTGCGGTTCATATTCCCGCATCGGCAAATATCCCAGCTGTGCGCAGAACTCAAGGCACGGCTATACTATAAACACTTTTTTGCGGTGCAGCGAAGGAGGCTTGAAATCACCGTGAAACCACTGCGCACGAGCGCTCATTACTCCGAGGCCACTCCCCAATCACAAACAATCTCTGTCTATCAATCCTATATCGCTGCCACTCCACATAACCGATCCGACTATCCCAAATTGCGTGCCCAAATCGCTCCGAAGTCACTCCCAAATTACTCCTGCAACCTTAAATATTCGCCGTAACCCAGCCAAAGCATCCCAGGGTTTGGGGCGAATGCCTCGGGAGTGCTTGCGTGCTGTGTTCTCAGAGCGGTTTGTACTTGGAGGGTTTCCTCTTAGGCAGAGGCGGCACAGGGTGTAACTGGATTGGATCGATCATGGATTGGGAGCGCTTCAAACATCCAGAATCCGTAATAGTGCG